AGTAAGCCTCAGTTTCCTGTTCTTCCTGTTTTGACAGGAGTGGTGTGCAGTTCTGCTGCTGTAACCCATCTGCTTCAACATGCTGTGTATTCAAATATGCTCTTCTGCATACCTTGGTATGTACATGTAGTAATTTGAGTTAGTGTCGCCTTCCTATTAGCTCAAAGTCTGGTTATTCTCCTCATATGTCTGGCATCAATAAAGCATTTTGCCCAGAGAACTCCAGCTGGATGCTTTTTCTTTTTTTTTTTTGGATCATTCTCTGTAAACCTCAGCAATGGCTGTGGGGGAAAATCCCAGTAAATCAGCAGTTTCTGAAATACTCAGACCAGCCAGTCTGGCACCGACAGCCATGCTGCATTCAAAGTCACTTAAATCATCCTTCTTCATTTTGATGCTTGGTTTGAACTTCAGCAGGTCGTCTTGACCATGTCTACATATCTAAATGCAGAGTTGCTGCCATGTGATTGCCTGATTAAACATTTTTCTTGAGGAGCAGTTGAAGAATTGTACCTAATTAAGTGTGGCGAATAAACCAAAAATGGTTTAGATTTGCTGCAACTACTCATGTGTGCAGATGTCAGACTATATCAGAGAGACTATATCTATAACAGCTTATTGTGTGCATTATGCCAAATATATAATACATCCCAGCAAACAACTGTGTTTGAAAGAAGCACTGAAAATGAGTCCTGTCAGACAAGCTCTTTTAATCGTGGGGTGCATTTAAAAATCATTTGTAGACATAAAAATTGGATCCATTCAACTGTTAAGACGCAGGCTCTGAAGAGAGTATAGCACATTCACACAATCCCTAATAGGATCTGGTAGAGAACATATGCTTTTGATATACACAGGAATTGGTGAATGTCTCCAAAGGCTGCACATACCTCTACACACGCATAGAAACTGCAGATCTCAGCAATATGAATAGTCAGGCCTGCTTACACAAGTGTGGCTAATTCAATATGACATTTTTCTAATAGGTAGTCTGGCCTCTTGGGGGGGACTGGGCTAAATGCAGAGTGAACAGATATTACAAGTGTGAGGTGTTGATGTAAATAAAACTATAATAATAAGTCTTTTTTTGCAATTATAGTTAGTGTTGAAATTAATAAAGGGAATCAAAAGATTGAGCCCTTCTAGGCCTCGCAAAGAATTGGGACGAAACAAAACCTTCCCACAACGCCCTGTTTGGAAATAAATCAGATGATTAAGTCACACTGCTATCTGTGTCAGTTATGATCAAAGAGAGTAAGAAATCACGATGCAGTAACTGCAACTGTCTTATACAACTGCTCTGTTTGCTGAAACATGTAGGCAGAACAGGTGTTAGTCTAAGAATTAGTCTCCCTTAAGGAGTGGTGTGAGTCAGGCACAAAAAGTGAAACGGTGCTGATGCATGGATTGAAACGTTGCAATGAAATGCAAATATCTCTTTGAGCATTTAAGTGAAGGTCGTGAAAGGTGCTTTTTAAAATGCACCGATGTTTGGAGGCATACTCTCCTGTCTTTACGAAAACTGAACTTAAGAGCCAAAATATCCTTCGACACGGGGAAAGGTGAGGTGCACGACGAATGAGGGTGCTAAACCCAGACGTTCATTCCCAGTTGAATGTGACAGTTTAATCAGTCCAGATAATTCCCAAACTTCAGAAAATCCCCAAACTCCAGATAATTACCATTTACATGTTGGTAGGCTGTGCAAAGTCAAAAACCGTCTGTGATGAAATCTTAAATGAACAAGTGGAAACTTTAGTGTTAAACCTTTTGACCAAAACTGTGGTTAAAGTGTGAATTTAAGACAGCTGGTGGGGTCGGAGTATTTTTAAGCATTTTATTATTGCTGGAGTGTGTGATACTGTTAGTGGAGCATTTCCAGGTGTCTGTAATGATATGAGTGTAAAGCTCTTACACCTATGAGAAACTGTGTAGAAATCAGCATAACCAGTTGCCCTCCTGTTCAACACTAAACAACAAACTGGTCTCACAACTGCTGTAATGACGAAATTCAGGCACACTGCCAGGTGAAAAATGGCAGCACAGTGGTGTAATGGTTAGTACTGTTGCCTCACAATAAGGACTTGGATTTGGATCCACTGGCTGGCTGAGACCCTTCTGTGTAGAGTCTGCATGTTCTCTACATGTACTCTAGCTTCCTCCCGCAAGTGCATAGATGTGAAAGTTAGTATGATGTATGGATGGCTGGATGGATGACAGTAATCTAATAAGCTATTAATCTGAAGAATGTGGTGCAGCATTTCTAACACAGACCTTTGACAAACAGCGAGCAACAGCTGCTGGAGATGGTGGTATCAAGCTCAAACACCAGAGACCGAAACATTTCCCATAGACGATCACATTCTTGAGATCCATTTGGCTTTCTGCTTCATCATGTGTGAAATTCATGTTGGTACCATATGAAACATTTTCTATTGATTTTTTAATAGCTCCTCTCAAACTTTTGACATTTAATGCATTTTTAATAGCTCAAGTGAAAAATCAACTTTTTTTATTGCAGTGGATAGTACTGTACAGAGCCGAAGAACAAAACTGTAAGATCTAGATATGATGACATCACCGCGCATTCTTGTCAAAACATGACAACTGAACGAGATAAGCACTGGGAGTAGCACGACTAATGTAGCGCACCTAATTGTGAACCTTGGGATTCAGAGCAGGAGGAGTTACCTTGCCAGAAGGTGCATTTGAATTTTCTGAGTCTCAAGGACCCCGGATTGAGAACCACTGCAAAAACTGGACGGAAAGCATCAATTAAGTATTGCCAGATTTGAAATGATAATCCCTAAACTCAGCAGAGCTTTGTCTCTCTGACAGCACAGAAGAGCTTCTGTCAGTCAAATCACAAAATACTCAGAATGTCTAGTCCAGGTTACTTGGAAAAGACATGCTTATTTTCCTCAACAGTTTGAGAAGACACGTGCAAAACAAAAATGGATTTGAGCAAAAAGTCTAAAGGTGAAAATCACATTAACATTTTTAGGACAACAAATATTTTGCTTAATTGAATCTGTGCTTAATTTTTTCTACACCTTAATTCGAACACAAGAACAATGACGTGTTTTGACCAGTGTAAGAATGAAGATTTAAGCAGTAAACACATTTTATTTCTCATATATGTGTTGCTTTCTCATGAGTTTTGATGATTTAAGCACGGCAAACGCAATGTAAAGTTAATGATCACAGCGCAAGTGCTAAACTAAAATAACTAAGTTAAAAATGAAGAAAAATATTTTTGGGGGAGAAAAGGTGAAGGAAGTGGAGGAGGTTAAAGCAAACTTGTTCTGCACTAATAAGTAACTAACTCAACGACAACAAAACACACAGTGAAACACGACTTCATAGAAAATCTCCCATTTGTAGGCAAGGACTAAGCCACAGTTATTTAAATCGAAGTCCTGGTGCCTCTGTCATCCAGCGTGACTAACAGGATTTGACATGGTGAGGAGTGGATGGGTCCCAGGTTCACAAAACACATTCTGTCTGTCTGACCCTCTCTTCACACACACACACACACACACACACACACACACACACACACACACACACACACACACCTGCCTGTGTGTCTGCATATTTACAGGAAGCCACACGAAAGCAATGCCACATAATCCACTGAGTACACTGTTACACAGCCTCTCACTTGGCTTCACAATGGCACCGCAGCAATTCTGTTTTTTGTCATTACTGATTGCCTTCCTCTACCTGTGTGTGCCAGCCACTCTCATACATGACTGAGCAAGAGTCCCATAATACAAAGGTTAATATGATGGGTTTAGGTTTATTATGCAATTATGGGAACATAAGAATCAAGATTAAAAAAAAAAAACCCACAGAACCATATTGTACCTGTTACACACACTTTACATCACTCCTAGCTCGTGCCACCTCTGACTTTCTCCCCTCGCTATCTGCTTTGTGTTGAGGAGGTGACAGCTTGCAGTAATTTAAAGTAATCGGATGATTCTCTCTCTTTTCATAATCCGAGACACACAGGCTGCTGTGAGGTAACCTGCTTTGGACGGGACCGCTGCAATAGGCAGTCGACAGACAGCCCACGTACTGTAGCGTGGACGCTACTTGTTGAAAATAAATTACACTCTTTCAGACGGCATGAGAACGATCTCTTACAAGGTAGTGTCGGGGACACTGCCGCTCTGTTAGGAAAGTGACTTACAGACCACGTGGTTAAGATAGGTTTTTAACCTCAAGACCAACATAAATACAACTTAATTCACTTTATCCACCTTAATCGCGTCAAAAAAATACCCATAAACAAGCGTGGTGCTGGTGACATTAAAGAAATTACTGAAATTTACTATTACTCTTATTAAGATCACAGCCAGAGAATCATAATCAATAGCTCGGTGATATCTGAACTAGACTAAAGCTCTGGAGTGCTTACAAATATGTAGAGTCGTCTTGAATAAAGCCGACGTCAGTTTACTAAACCAGCATTAATAATTCCATCAGCCAGTTTCAGCACCACGGACAGCGAATCTTCTCACTGGTCCATAAACATAGTATTCAAAGTACTTTATGATACTGTATTTTGGACTTTTTTCATTGCAGGTGTCATATTATGCCTATAGCCTATAACCCCCACCCTCCCCCCCAATTTTGGTAGCAGAAGGGATGTTTTGTATCCACACAAACGCGCATTGCTTCATCTCTACCCACCCCCAAAAGAAAGAAAGAAAGAAAATACCTTGTGGAGGGGTTTGAACTGTGTGGGTTTATAATGCTCTGGAAATAGAAGCAGCAGTCAGGAGCAGAGCAAATACATGAAACAGAAGCGGTGCCTTTGGGTGATTAAAGTCACTACCGCACACACACACACACACACACACACACACACACACACACACACACACACACACACACACACACACACACACACACACACACACACTATAAGTCAGAGATGTTTCAGGCAGTAAAGTAACACGGGCTCCGACTGGATGCACTGTACGACTTACCGTGTCGTCCTCGTTGAAGCCATATGTTTCACACAAATCTACTTTTCCGCACACTGTTGCTGTCTTTGGGCCGCGGTAACACACAGCCCGGTGGAAAAAATCCAGGAAATAACATCCACACAACTCATCCACCCGCCTCGGTTAAGGACTGACCCCACTTTTGTGTGTGTTGAGGGGGGAACAAGAAAATCCCGTTGTCGGTCCCTTCAAGACGAGAGAAACATCGAGTAGTTTATTTTCAAGTCACAAAAAAGAAAGAAAAAGAAAAGGAGGAAGAAGAAAAAGAAGCGATGCTCTTCATGCCATGCTCTTCGCCTTCGTGCGGTAAAGATAGTCTTCCTCTGCTCTAGTCTCCTTTAGTTTAAGTCCCCAGTGTGGGAGTCACAAGGTAACTACGAGCTCTGTAGGAGAGACAGAGTAACAGTATATGTGCTCTAATGTTCTCCCTTGCTTTCCCAGCCAAAGAGAGGGAGAGGGGGGGGACCGAGCGACACCAGCTGAAGGAAGAGAGAGGCGATGCGCAGTCAGAGAGAGAATATTTGTCTTATGGTAGCTGTGCAAGTACCGCAGGAGCAGCAAGCGGCAGGGATGGTGATCGGTGCACCGTCGGTGCGCCGTAATCTAATTATCTCAACGGCAAAAAGCGCCCGGATTAGCGGGTGGTTGCTCTGCTATGTCCCGCTGCTCTGCTCTGGTCTTTGCGTCGCATGGCGGAGAGGGGAGGATAGGAGCGCTATCAGACTATCCTATCAAATTTTAATTAGTCAGTACTCTCTCATACTCACTCACTTAAAAAAGCAAAACAAAAAAACAAAACAGCAAATGACAGAAAGACACAAATAATGATTCGAGACAGCACATCACTTTCCTGCCCTGAAATCAAATGCCTTTTATTTGGATACTCAGAGGTAAAAACAAACAAAAATCGTCCTGATTATGTCTCTGTTTCTTTTGGCATTGCAGCAAAGGTCATTCTACAGGTGCGCGGTTCCATATTAAAAAGACACACCTTGCCAACTGTGCAGGACCGGGTGAACTTTAATTCCCTACGTGCATTGTGGAAAGAGACACCAGTTAACCGCTGGATTTCATGCTTCTCTGGAGTATCAGTTTTTAAGAGCTGACTGCTAATGTGTTTCTTTCACTGTTCCAATACTTGCAAAGTCTAATTTCAAGAAGTCACCTTGCTCAGTTCTCCGTAATAACACCTTAGACATGTTCTTTTAAGTAAGCTAAGTAATGCTGCAGATCGCACAAGACACCACATTAAATACAATTAGGATACAGAAAGTTGACATTAAACATTATCCTGGCGTTGTACATTGAACTTTATCATCATTACATTCACAGTTACTCCAGCAATCACACTCCCCAATGGCAGTGGTCTCTCCTGGACACACAGGGCCACAGTAACATGGTAAAAACTGCTTAGAAAAGCATAACAGAGCTCAAAGAGCTGTTCAATAGTGCAGGGAGACTCCAAAGGTCTTGTCCTGTTGCACGGGGCCACTCAAAAGTGCCTTGAGGCAAAGCTTGTTGTGCTGTATAAATAAAACTGAATTGAATTGACTTCTATAAATTCCTAGTGTATAAAATAGCAGTGAAGTCTATGGCAATTGAACATATCATTTGTTTTGCATGCATGCAAAGATAATTCAGCAAGTAACCTTTGAACAACACATTTATAGTAAGACAGCAAAATGGCGAAATTGTACATAAAAGAGAGCTCCACTAGTTAACCATCATTTGAATGGCACCATCAAACTCATGATAGGCAGATTAAAAAAAGCGGGTTCAGAAAAAACAGACTAACTACTCTTCATTTTCAAAATTTGACCTTCACTTTACCCACAATACAATTCAGCCACCCCCAGCTTCTTTGGATATTTATGTACATTAAGATTAGTATCAGCTAAAATAGCCTGAAGTCACTATCCTCATGCAGAGATCTGGTAAGGTCACATCTTTCTAACTCCGACACCCATGTTTTTTTTTTAAACATGGCCCCACTACTTGAGGTATTTGCACAGCTTGCACTTTAACCATAAAAGGCTTCATGTGGCTTTTCTTTTTTTTGGTTACAAATACTGTAATACTTCCCAAGACCTGTAAACAGACTTTGATGTGCAAACTCGGAGGAAACACAAATACAGTGCTCGAGAAAATGATTCCATGCATACTATTAAAGATTTCACACCAGAGGTTACCTACCCTTTATGTCTTTGTATGATGAAGTAACTCCATACGCAAACTGTAGACTGACCCTGCTGTAGAAACGAATCCCTGAACTGCCAATACACTGCTACCCTTGACAGTAACATGATACAGAACATCAGCAAATGTTGCTTAAATATTTCCAAGATACTTCTAGATAAAAGTTTTACAAGCCTATATAAAATGCAGTATTTCTAATAAAAAATTCTGTAGTTTCAGTCTTTTTACACAGGAGGAGCTGCAGAATGCATGCTGGCTAAACTTGCTAATTTTCAAAGAGTTTCTTTGCAGATACAGAATGTAGATTCCAGAAGCATCACCCAACTCCTGCAGAATCTCCGTAAAGACTTGATAATAAGTCTTGAGTGAGGGTTAATCAGTCTCTAAAGAAAATCCACCTTTGCACCTCATAACATCCATATAATATAACAATTATTCCCAATCCACTGATCGTTTTACTCCTCCCCCTCTTTTTAAAAACAAAAGATGACTTCACAGGCAACGACAAAGGGTTGTTTATTTTGTGAGTCATTGTCCTTTCCTCAAACTGCACATTGGCACTTGAGAAAAAAAAAGGAAAATATATCAGCATAGCAGTAGAAATGGGCTACCTGAAGACAAGAAGAGTAAACACAGACTTCATTTAGCCAGTGTCTAGTCTGTTTGCTCATCTGGACAGAAAAGAACAGTAAGCTGAAAGAAGGGGATCTAAAACTGAGTAATCCTTAATAATCAAGCTTCACCGCTACGTTGTTTAAATTGTGCAAGTGTTTAGAAACTGTGAGCAAACTGTTAAATAGTTTGTCTTAAATAGGCCACATTTGAGCCTGTTTAAGATAATAATTGCTACAAACGATTGATTATTGAATACAAAAATCAAACTGCTAGAATGCCACTTGCTCAAATTATAATTTAGTTATAATTTACTTGGAGATCTTGAAAAGGTACAGGTTAGCTTCTGTTGGCACTGCAATATGAAATTCACATGTTGTTGTCATTCTGTAGCACAAAATAAAATTACAGCTATCACACGAGTTCATGAGTGCACTAGCTTGTGTTGCTTCATAGAGGTCAGATTTTAAATCACAGTAATTTAAGCACTGTTTATAATAGAAATATAAAGCTGAGAATATTTTTTTCACCCTTAAGTAACATGTTGCATGGAAAGTAGAAAAAAAAATCTATAATCACCACGAAACAACTTCAGGATGTGGACCAGCAGGTGTGGACCAGCAGGTGTGGACCAGCAGGCATAGACCAGGATAAAAGTGCACCTGAGTTAAGAACAGATTTGACTCCTGGCTTTATATTCGACTGATAAAACACGAGATAGGAAGAGTGATAGCTGTAAAACAGCCATCTGCTCGTTTTTTTGTTTTTTTTAATTGTGCATCTTGTAATTACCTTCCTTATTTATTAATTTGATGAAAAAGTCAGAATATGATGAATGTGCTAGACATTCTGCGTCTCCTCACGATAACTGTAACATGTACATGTACTGAACAGTGAAAAAAAACAAAAAACAGAAGTGGCCCTGTTGGGTTGGATTGATGTGAAAGCAGTTACAGAGTTTGGCCACTTTAAATTGAAATCTGATTGCACAAATTAAAAGTTTCAAATCGCTTCCAGTAAAAGGGGTTTGCCATCAGAGGGCCAGGCCAATTATAGCCCCACACCACTGTGATCTTACCTGTGTGTCCATCTGCTCCGCTCTGCTCTTTGGGATTACATCAAATCCTATTGAGCTCATGGGACAGAAGCCAAGATCAGCATGCCTGAACCAATCATTATAAACCACCAGCACAAGAGAAGTTTGTCTTTTCTTACAAAGCACAATGTGGCTAAAAATGAATGATCATTAAGTGATTATTAATGCTCAGCTGAGTAAATATAATAGGTAGACATTTTACAGTGCTATTACAGAAATAATAAATGGTGCAGCATGTGGTGCACAGACAGGAGAGTCAGGTGGCTAAAGATACTGTCACATAACTGATTGAACACCACTGATTTTTAATACTGATCCATACAGGTGAAATTCTCTTTCCAACCTCAATTGTACTGCAGACCAAAGTTACACATCCAGGATAGATGTACATTTGAAATGCATATAAAAATGGTACCTTTTAATTTTTCTTATACAAATTCACTCAGATTATTCATCTTAGCTCAAAAAATCTAACTTCTCTTAAAACACACCTTTTTCTCACTGATTTTGGTCTAGCTTTAATGGATTTTCTCAATAATAATAATAATAATAATAATAATAATAATAATAATAATAAACTTTATTTATAAAGCACACTTAAAAACCCTAAGAGTATGCCAAGGTGCTTAACAAGTAACATAGAGAACATAGAGAAGGAGGATAATAGTATGCAAGCAGGTAGCTGTCACTGATACATAGGAAAGCAACAGGTACAGAGCAAACAAGAAGAAAACACCAACAAAAGAAAAAAAAACAAAAAGAAGAAAAATAAACATGCAAAAAATGAATAATCTTTATTTTAAGGTAGGTCAGTTTCAACTGAAATTTGTGCCATTTCTGTATTGGTAGTAAAGTCAAGTTAAAAATTTCCAGTGGAGAAGTTGACCACAGGTAACACTGGCTCCTGTTTTGTTTACATTGTACATACATGGATATGCAAATGCACATATTTTGGGAGCTGAATGCAAAAATGTGCTTATCAACAGTTATGGTAGTAACTCACATGGAATCATACTGATGAATCTAAAAAGGGAGTTTTTCCTTCCCACTCTCACCTGTTTTCACTATTTTATCTGTATTGGAATAGGGTCTCTACCTTACAATAAACAGCACCTGTGGTTGTGATTTGGTGTTATATAAATAAGACTGAAGTGAATTTAAAAAAATGAAGAAGGCAACTTGTAAAGAATTTTAAATCATGATTTAAAATTTCAAGTAAATCGCCTCTGTCAACATTTTATGATGCAACAAATGTTCACATTTTTCTCAGACTCAAAGAAAACAAAATGTTTTTTAGGTGAGTGAGAAAAATTTGTACAAATAACCCATATGGAAAAGAAATAGTAAAAACTTATATGTGATTACTCATGAAAGTGGCCACTTTCGCATTACTTTCATATATTGTTTTAGTAAGTATCCAGAACATATAAGTTTCATTATATAATTGTTCAAGGGATCTTATATCTGTTTTCACTCCTGTATGCTTTTCATACAAGTTTCACACAAGACAGATACAAACTTTATAAGATTTATATATATCTTTTCCATATGGGAAAACCTTGTTTGTTTGTTTGTTTGTTTGTTTTGAAGCCCCACAGGTACATTTGATGTGTTGCATTCATATCAGTTGTTCTGTTTTCACTTTGGGTTTTATTATCATAACAAGACATTGTGGTATATTTGCACCTGTCATTTCCATCCCAGATATTTGGCACAGATATGTGCATGTTAGTAGCATGCTGTTTTATCATTAAACATTATAAACTCTACTTTTACTGT